CACAGAAAATTATGGACTTTATAGGGCAGGACATTTATCAGACACAGACCTTGGCTATCTTTCCTTGTATTCAAGAAGAAAGCACGAGACTCTGATCTGAGAAGTTAATGGTGAAGGAATGTAAGGGAAATTCCAGCATACTGTTACAAGTATGTCATAAGAAGCAATGGCAAGGTTTATGACCACTGTCACCGAGCCCATGCAAACAGAACTTCTGATGTTCAATTTGAAATTTTACATACATTCTATAAAAATAAACTAAAATTGAATAACATTATAATTATCTATTAATTCATTGTTGTTACAAGATACTGCAAATAAATCTGTATGTTGTCAGGTTATGGACAGGTTAACTATAGCAGTGCTGTGAACATGAAAGATCACAAAGAAAGCAATTATATTTCCCTTCTCTGCATAAGGTTATAAGAAGAGCCATGATCTAATTTATTCTTTCTTCCAGTCTTTAGCTGAAATCAAGAACATTCAAAATTATGCTATGACCTTGTCATACTATGGACTAGTGTGGCAGTAACAACAGAAATCCCTAAGAAAATTGTTTCAACTTCAGATGACAAAAATCGAGAGAAACCATGAACAATCTATTACCCACCAGCAGCAGTTTAATAGCATACTTCATTTCAGCCTGTAGCCTAAAAAATACAGGCTCTAAAAGGAAATACTAGACTTTCAGAAGAGTCTATATAATTGCACAGTTCAGGTCTTCTCATTAGCCAATTTATTCTTCAGATTTACAGCCCTGAATGTAACAAAATCTTTGTCACATGGTGCACTTAGGATTTTAACCCTTCAAATTAATTTCTTTTTATCACTGGAAACTAATTCAGCAGCACCCACAGAGTTTTAGGCTTCCATTTTCTGTTGGGAGAGCAGCCTTTTCAGGGCCTTACAGCCCAACACAACATTAAGTATGTGTCTGACATTAAACCTGTGCTGAACTTTCCTCAAGGTAAATAGGATGCAAATGAATGTTTAGTTGTTTTGTTTAATATGGATCATCTCATGCACCTTTGAACTGTTCTTCTGCCAGCTGCCACTTACCACTAACAGAGAAGTAAATTTTATAGGATATAAAATTGGGTAATTTTAATCTCCCCAAAGGGAAAATAGTTCATTGGGAGTAAAAAAAACTGTCTGATAATGCCACTTCTACAAGTTGCTTTGATGGGTGTAAGAAAGTGGGAGAAAAGCCCAAGGTATCTGGCAGCCACACAGCTTATACTTTACTTCCATAATCATTTATAAAACACAGCAAAATGAACAGCAGCTTGTGCTCCTATCATAATGTACAACCTCTCAGTAGCTCGTGTACAATAATACCTCCATGAAAATCAAGCTGTATTGCTTCTGCTTCTTTGTACAACACTTTGCATGACTAAGAGCAGCAAGTGACAATGTTCTCCAGTTAACTGAGATTGATTATTGGTGCTTCAGCACATCCATAATCATGATGCATGCAGCATGGAGAGATGAAATTATTTTCATACACTGCCCTGATTGGTAGAAAAGCCTTCTTTTCTAACGGAACTGAATATGTATAGGATGCATGCAATCTGCTCTAGAGGAATGGGTACTGTGCTAGCTGCCAAGAGGTCTCTAGCTATACTCATGCCATGCTTGCTTCTGAGCAAGATGAGCTGTGCATGCTGACTGCATTTGCTGCTCTTCAGTCACAGTGGTCACCACTACAAAGAACATAAATTTACCAGTGCTTACCACTGCAGTATCTGAGATACTACTGTTTTACTATGGACAATAGTGAGAATCTGAAAGAAGCATAAGAAATGAGTGTGGTACATGGTGGAAGGTATGGCAATTGTAGGTCTGGATTTTATTTCAGTAACATTGATTTTACAGCTGGTTAACTGTACTGACTTCAAAAGAATTGCTGCAGATTGTTACTAATGAAGTGACTACAGAGTGTGAGCCTCTGTATCTGGTAACAGCAACAGGAAACTGAAGATTCTTTAGCAGAAAAATAGGTTAGCAAATTTGTTTTCTTTTCTTTTACAGCATATTTTTTAAAAGCCATTTCAAAAAATCTCAGAGGACTTAATATTTTAAAGAAGTCACTGTTATGCCATAAAGTCCTGGAAGGTATAAAAATTCCTAAGAGACTGGCACTTCACATTTGGTAACTTCCCTGTCTGGTGAATAGCAGAACTATTCTGAAGTTCAGGTGACTTTTCTAAACCAGAATCATGGCATCTTTCTGGAGGATGTGATTCCTGGGAAAAAGGAAGAATTTGCCTTTTTAAACAGACACATCAATAGCCTTTGCTTTTCTTCCTTACTGAGCAATGCAGTCTAACTGTGGTATTATTGCAACAACAAAAGTTAGTGCTGCAGTAAATCACATTTGATCAAATGGATTAAAGAGTTCTTTGAGGTTGTGGAAATGGACAGTGCACTGCAAAGTCCTTAATGAATAAGGAGTGATTAATTAAATACTTTTTAAGGTGAAATACAGTTACAAATAGCTCAGTAACAGAAAAAGCAGTAATATATCAATGCCATAATGAATTTTCTATATTAGGATTAACACACCAAATTGCAGATAGTTAAATAAGCATTTAAATTATTAATTTTCTCATTATTTCATGTTTCTCTAGATACTAAGCTCCATGTAACCCAACACAAAAGATTAGAGATGAAAT